TCCCAGACTGATTCTGCAGAAGCACAAGATGCATATGGTTTCCTGGGAAGAAGAAGGCTGTTTCGGCCCTGCTGTCCCCCCTCCGCCAGCTGAGGGACCTCGGGGGCATTCCTCATCCACACCCGGCACCTGGCCACACGTCTGGGGCTGCCAAGGCTTCTTCCCCAGACCTCAGCTCTGCTGCCGGCATCCGAAAACCTGCCCATGGCCCTGGCGATTAGCTCCCATTCTGAAATGATTGTTCAAGGAGAGAGCAGAAAACAGAGCTTTCTGGCCTCACCTCCAGATTCTGGGTGGGATGGGTCTCAGTCCCTTTGTGAAAAATCACCTCCGCTGTTTTCCTTTCTCTGGAATAGACTTAGGACTGAAAACTGGCAGCCGGGGTGGGGGGGCCCCAGAACCGCCCCACCAGAAGCTTAGTCTGTCCGTCCCACTCGGGGCCTGCGCCCCAGCACTTGGCCCCCAGCAGCACGCCTAATAGCAAGGAAGATGCCCTGGGGTTTGAGTGACCACCCTCAAGTGCAGAAAACTCACAAACCCTTGTGCTGGGACAGCTTGTCCAGGCCAAGTGCCCACCCAGGACCAGCCAGACCCCAGGGAGGACACCCCGATGCCCACTCAGCCTCTCAGCAACCTGTCCCCACCCCTCAGGCTGCTCACCAGAGGGGCCCAGGGCAAGCCACAGCCCTGTGCCTTGCCAGACACGGCCCCCCACCCGTAAGGAGCTCCTGTTCACTCCTTCCCGTCAGGAGGGAGGCAAGTCTCGGGCGGGGAGGGCGGAGGAGGTGTGCCTGGCAGAGAAGACCCCGGGGCACTAGAAGGTGCGTGGGGAGGGTCAGGTGAGAGTGATGGGGGCTGCCGCAGACATGGTCTGTGGGATACGGCAGGGGAGACCCTGAGAAAGCACCAAGTCCCACAGCTCTGGGGAGGGGGGGAGAGTCCAGTGACCCCTGGTGTCCAGGCCGGGACACTCTGCTTTGTGGTCACGCAGGTCCCGAGGGCTCCCTTTTGTCCCACGACTCTGGCCCCAAGGACCAGAGCTCACAGGCATCGTCCGCGTCCTAGTAAACACACACAGCCCAGTGAAAGCCGAGGGCCGCGGGCAGGAAGGAGCTGGGGTCCTGAGATGGGCCAGGCGGGGCCCTGCCTCCCAGCCTGTTGCTGGTGTGGAGGGGCTTCCTCACCAGCAACTCCAACCACGGAATGCGGCCAAGCGGAGACCCAGGCCCTTCTCCCTTCCTTCCAAGACACGGCACCTTCCTCCTGCTGGCCCCGTCTCAGGAGCCACGGGACCCGAGGTGGCCAGGACGGGGCAGGACAGGCCATGCTGCCGTTTTCTCTGGGAAAGGGGAGACAGTCCGAGCTCTGGGAAAGCCACGGGTGTTCTGTGGTGCAGGGACGGCGAGGGCCTGGGGCTGAAGGGAGGCCAGGGTGGCCAAGTGGGGGCCGACGCTCTCACCCAGGCGGAAGTTTGGAAGGAGACTCAGTGCAAACTTGACTAACATATATATGGCTTTTATCAACGCTGGGGACCAAAGGGGAGGGCACACAAGTGACTGTGCGGCGTCCTCCACCACCATCTGGAAAGGACGCCGGCTCCTTGGGACTCACAGAGAAGCCCCCTAAGGAATGGCAGCCCCCCCGCAGCCCCCTCCCATAGGTGCGAGGGGGGAAGGGGGCTCTGTGTTCCATCCGCCCCGTCCTCCCCTTCTTACCTGGGCCTCGGGGGAACTAAGGAATTGAAACCTTCCCTTCAAGGTGCTCTGGCTCTGAACAGGTAGTGGGCCTTCAGATAGCACTGCTCCACTCAGAGGAAAAGGGAAAAGCGCAGGCGTGAGTGGGGGGTGAGTGCCAGCCTCCGTCTCCCGTGGCTTCATTCGCTGTTTCGGGGAAATGGGGCTTCTGCTTCTTCATGGTTTGATGTGAACTGTTGTCCCGGGACTGACAGGCCAGTCCAGCCAAGGGTTCAGTCCTCTTGTCCAGAAAGCCCCTGGCAGTGGGGGAGGGGAGGCCCGGCTGGCATCAGGGTTCGGCCGAGCTCTGGAAAACCTGGCTTCCCACACAGCCGCCTGGGGGCTGCAGGGGCCTCTCGCAGGAGGGCCGCCCTCTTGCACAGTGGATGCTCTTGGTTGGGGTCCCGCACGCCTCACCAGCCCAGCCCCCCTCCAGGAGAGCCGCCCACACGGGTCGTCGGCCACGGCGCTGCCTTCTGCCGGGAAACAGCAGGTGCTGCCATCTTGCTGGTCCAGGCGCTCGGGAAACAGGAGGAGCCTTGCGGGCCGAGGCCCGGGTGGAGCTGTGGGGCGAGGGCGTGCGGGCATGCAGCAAGGACAGGCCCGGGGGGCGATGAGAGCCAGGCTTCTCCTCCGCCTCTGCGGGGCCGCTCCTCACAGCCACCGGAGGGAGGGCGGTCTTTAAGAGGAGGGAGGACAGGGGCAGGGGCACAACTGGACAGTGGAGGAGGAGCCTCTGGGCTGCACAGCTGGGCCGAGCCGCGCAGCGCCCGCCTCGCGCCGGCCGCCGCCCTACTTGTTCTTGCCCAGAAGCGCGTCCACCTCCTCCTCGGGCTTGAGCGAGTGCCACTGCGCGATGGGCCGGCGGGGGTTGGCCAGCATGTCGGACCAGTGCCGCAGCTCCGTGCCCGTGGCGCTGCTGCCCACGAAGATCTTGCCGATGGCCTCGTTCTTGCCCAGCTTGTCATAGTCCAGCACGGTGACCACGACCTGGACCTTCTGCAGGGGACAGCAGGCATGGGCGGGGAGGCCGGCTCCCCTGACCAGCCTCTCCGGGGCCTGCCTCCAGCGCCGGCACGACCTCCGTTCCCACCCCTCTCACCGAGTGGCGCTCCAGCTCCAAGCTCCGAGCGCCTGGGAGGGGTCAGGCACTGCCTCCCAAGCTCCCAGCGCAAAGCGCTGAAGGCTGTGCTAGGGATGCCAGCGAGGGAACGCGGGGCCCAGGGTGGGGGGACCGTCCTGCCCCACCGGCAAGGCAGGCCTCAGGAGGGAGCGGTGTGAACCGGGAGGTGAAGGCAGAGGGAAGGCAGGAGAGAAGCCCAGGAGGGAAGCTGCGGGAGGGGCAGCGGGGACCCTGTAGAAGGGGACCCGGGTCTTGGTGGGAGAGTCGCTGCAGGAGGAAGGCCTGGAGGGAGGACCCCAGTCAGGGCTGTGGGGGTCTCAGCGGTGGACACTAAAGGTCTGCAGCTGGCCATGTGGTGGGGGTGGAAGTGGGGGCGTTTGGGGTGAACCAGTTGGAGGGGCTGGGTTGTCACGGTCCCCTGGGTCCCCGCACCCCAAAGCCCCTCTCCCTGCATATTGCCCCTCCCGACCACAGCTCCTTGGGAGCAAGGACGGCGTCTTCTCACGTGCTTCTCCAGCACCAGCAAGACACTCAGAAGGTGTGTCAGGCAGATGGGGGAACAGGGTGAGGAGGGGTCTAAACTGGGCGGCTGGGGGCGGGGTCGTTCTGCGGGCTCTGGGCCTGTAACCGTGCGTCTCCGCTTCCGGCAGCAGGACCCTCCGGGCCCAGCGTTACGCTGCCCGTGCTCCATGAAGAGCCTCAAGGGTAGCGGTGGCAGGACCCGTCCCGGGGGAGCACCTCCCCAGCACGAGGGAGAGACCAGCCCCGGCCCCGCGGCGCCCCGCACCTGGATCTGCTCGAAGGGGATCTCGAAGCTGAAGGACTCGTTGAAGTAGGGATTCAGGGTCTTCTTCTTCACCGTCGTCTTCTTCTTCTTGAGCCTCTTGCCATTCTGCATGAGGTGGATCTTCACGTAGGGGTCTGCGGGGAGAGCACCGGTCAGAGCGGCCCTGCGCCCCACCCCACGCGCTCCCCCAGCAGGTGGGAGGGTGGGATCTGCGGCTCCAGCCGTGCCCCCGTCAGCAGCAGGGGCTCCACACGCACCTGAGAGGCCGCCCACGTCCATCTTCTTCAGGTTCTTGGCCTCCAGGATGCAGACAGTGAGCTTCCCAGCCGTGGGCACGTAGCGCAGGGAGGTGCAGATGTCACCCAGCTTCTCTGGCTGTGGGTGGGTGCGGGTCGTCTCAGCCGCCCCCACCCCGCCTCCAGCAGGGCTGACCCCATCCCGCTGAGACTGAGTCCCCTCTGATGTGAGGAAGGTCGGACCTCGAGCCTGGCCGAGGCCGCCCACCACACCCACGTCCCGAGCAGGGTGTTGGCCCTTCCTCCAGGCAGCCTGGGCCCCCTCGGCGCCTGGTGCTGTGCACTCGGGGGCTATGCCAAGACAGACGGCCGGTGCTTGGCAGGGCGGCGGCTAAAATGGAATTTCTGGTGCACGGCAGGGGCTCAGTGATCTGGTGAAGGGGAGACGGGCCCCTGCGGGGACCCTCCAGAGCACGGGGGCTCCCTGTGGGGAGAAGACTGACGTGTCCCGTCCACCTGAGCGCCTGGCCGCTGTCCGCGCTCACAGGTGGGCATCCTCGCTGCCCAGGGACAAGGGCCCCAGGCGGGGTGTGGAGCCGACCTCACCTCTTCCTTCTCACCGCCCTGCAGGTCCCGCCACTCCTCGATGGGCTGCCCGAGGTCCACGGTGTTCATGGGCACTTTCACCTCCCCGATGATGTCGTGTTTGGAGAAGCGGTCAAAGTCGTAGATGGCCATCACCAGGGTCTTGCCCCCCAGCTCCTGGTACGGCACCTGCAGGGCAGGGGCAGGGGCAGGTTCAGGGCAGTGTGGGGGCTGCCGTGCGGACTCAGAGAGAAGCCCCCGGGCTCTGGGGGAGGCCATGGTCCCCGGCCGGACTGGGCCAGGGCCTCAGCTGCCCTACAGGACAGGGGAAGGGCTGGGAGGACCTTGAAGGTGAAGGTCTCGTTGAAGGCAGGGTTCAGTGTCTTCCGATGGACTTTGGTCTCATATTTCTTCTTCTTGTCTGGGAGGAGGAAGACTTTGACGTAAGGGTCTGAGGTGCCCCCCATGTCCAGGGCAGGCAGTTCTGCGGCCTGCAGGACGCCGACTGTGAGCTGTGGGGAGAGAGCGTGGCCAGGTCAGCCCAGGGGTGGGGGCGCACGGTGCCGGAGGGACGCTTGGAGAAACCGAAGCTGGGAAGGCACTTCTGTGGCCAGGGCGGTGGGCAGCCTGCCGGGCCCCTCCCTGCAGACCCAGCCCCCCACTCCGGCCCCACACACCTGGTTGGCCTGGAAGTCGTAGTCCAGGGAGAACTGCAGCTTCCCCAGGTTCTCTGGCTCCTTCTCCTCCTCCCCCTCACCCTCCCCCTCCGTCAGGCCCGTCTCAGCGTCGTCATCGGTCCTGGGGGGGCTGGGGGAGGAGGGAACGTCAAGGGATGCAGGGCAGCACCATCATGGCCCCTGCTCCCCCAGCCCGGGCAACACATACCAGGAGTGCAGTCCGGGTGCACCGCAGATGGGAGAGGAAGGAAGAAGACAGTGGTGAGAGACCCTGCAGCTCAGACCCGCCCCGTTGGGGGGCCCCAGCACACGTGTGCTCACACGCACTCTCACGTGCCCACACGCGTGCTCACACGTGCACACGCGCACACGTGTGCTCACACACACCCATGCGCGCACTGGAGGCCACCGCTCCAAGGCTGACGACTCGAAACAGGCCCCTCCTTCCACCCTCCATGCCGGTTCCTCGGGCAGGAACTGTCTCCCAAAGAACCCTGGGGAAAGCGGGGCCGCTGCGAGCTGAGGGGAGGGACCTGCGGGCGAGGGGACGGGCTCCCTACCTGGCCCCCTCGCATGTCCTTCATGCTCATGGCGCTCTTGGCGCCCTTGCCCTTCTCCTTCTTGTTCTTCCTCTTCTTGCAGCAACACTTCTTGCAGATGCAGAAGCAGCAGGTGAGGAGCAGGAGGCCGACGAGCACCACAACGGCGATGAGCGCCCAGGGCGGCACTGCCCGCGGGAGACGGCGTCAGGCTGCCGCCCGCAGCCCCCAGAGGCCTGGGCGAGGCCGCGGCCCCACCCATGTGCTCCCCACACCTAGGACTGGCTGGCGTGCAGGCCACACCCCGGGGGGCCCTCCTGTCCGCAGGGCCCTGGTGGCTGCAGCCTGCACCGCAGGCTCTGCTTGGACCCTTGCAGGGTGGGTGGGGCCTTGTCCGCCCTGGCCGAGGGTCGGAAGGCAAGCGCCCTCAGCTCCTGCAGGCTTTGGGGATGGGCCTGAAGCACCGTCTCCCAGCGGGCTGGCTCCCTGGACTGGACCAGAAATCCAGGAAGCAGGGGGCTTTTATGTTCTATTGTCTGAAATAAAGCGGTTTCAGAGTGTGGCTAGAAACGTGAATGACGGTTTCTGTCCCGTCACTTTTTATCTTCTCTTCCGACAGTCTCCTACATTACAGGAACATTTTGCCTCTGGGCGTGTGGTCAGGGCATAAAGCCCCTCCTTCCCTCGTTACTGCCAGACCACACTGCCAACCCCCCGAAGTGGGTCCCCCAGTAATCCGGGCAGGGTCTCAGCCGTCCCACCCACAGGGCCCCAGCCCGGCCCCCGGGCGCGAGGGGCACTCACAGGGGATCAGCTTCATGTCATTGAAGAACTGCTCCCCCATCTTGGCAAACACGTCCTTGGTCTTCCCAGCACCCCCGCTCTCCGTGGTGTTGTCTGCGGGCCCGACAGGCGCGGCGGTGGTGGCAGGAGCCACCGCAGGCTCCTGGTTCCTCTTGAAGATGCTCCTCATGGCTGCAGGAGGACGCTGTGGGCGGAGCGGTGGGGTGAACACCACAGACACACGTGCGGACACTCTGCCCGCAGCACTTTTGTTAAATTTATTTCTAGATATTTGATTCTCCTTGATGCTGCTGTAAACAGAATTGCTTTAATTTCGTTTTTAGATTGTTCATTGCTAACAGGTGCAAATTCAGCCCATTTCTGTGTATTGACCCCATGTCCTGCCACATGCTGAGCTGGCTTATTGGTTGTGTTACTGTGTGTGTGTGTGTGTGTGTCTGTGTGTGTGTGTCTTGTCTGTGTGTGTGTCTGTGTGTCTGTGTGTATG